TGCCCTAACCAGCCACTCCCCGTCGTCCGGCCGGCCGCTCCCTTCCCGGCCACCGTTCGGCCGCCAGTAGTGCCGGCCGGCTGCTCCCTTCCCCTGCCCCCTGGCCCGTCCGGCCGCCCGGCCGCCCCCCTCTCCTCGCTAGGGGCCGGCTCGCCCGCGGCGGCGCGGCCCGCCCCCTCCCCTCGCTGCGAGCTCCTGGGGCACCGGCGAGCTCCAGCCTCCACCCCCTAGTTCCGGAGGCACTCACCGGTCTGGCCATTCACAGCAAGGTACAGATAATTGATTGAGTTGTTTCTCTGTTTGTGCCCTCATTCTTCACCCCACTTTTACATGCTACAGCGGTGATATTTACCTTTGTATGCCAAACTGTTAGTACTACAATGTCATTGAACTGATGCAATACAGCAATTTAGCCAATTGAACGATGCCATTGAATCGCGGAATTTGGAATATATCCCGTGAGCTATAATGCTTTATCATATATCATATGACACTTTGGATTAGGCAGAATATTTTTGTGGAGTGTGCACCCCCTCCATTTTATTCCTGGGTCCGCCACTGCCTCTGATATACGATTGGGTTCAAGGATTTAGGCCGCCGCTGCAGTGTATTCTTCCTGCTTGTGGTGTTACTGGTGTTAGAAAATATATCTAGCTGCTGAAACTTCGTGGTTTGTTTTCCTAGTTGCTATGTCTGGGTAATCCCCACTTTGCAATTTCTCACCAGCTCCATGATTTGCTATATTGCTATACGAAGTTTTCTCAAAAAAAAAAACATGTTGGACTTGAGCCATGCCTACCTAGATATTAAGGCAGATTTATTATGTCTGTTGCTCAAGCGCATGTTGTTTACATGGGAAATTTTGTATGCAGTTTTTGAGCAATTTATGTAATCGATCCCTTAATTTTCTTTACGCAGGACCCTTTTAAATTCAAGTATACCGGCTTGGGTCTCAGTTGGATAGGGACAGACTTGAATAAGAGAGAAGTATTAGCGGGATTTTACATGACGGCTGGATCACGTGTGGTGGTGATAGACAATGGGGGTGGTCTTCTGAAGGCTGGTTTTGGCGGGGACAAGGATCCAATTGCTGTCGTACCGAACTGCATAGCAAAGTCTCCTGGTTCCAATGCAAATTCGAAGAAATGGCTAGCGGCTGACCAGCTGCAGGCACAAGATGTTGATGTGACTGGTATGACGTTGAGGCGTCCTATTGACCGTGGCTACCTTATCAATACAGAGGTGCAGCGGGAGGTGTGGGAACGGGTCCTGCGCAGCCTGCTCCAGGTGGATCCGACAAACTCATCCTTGTTACTGGTGGAGCCACAGTTCAACCCTCCAGGACTGCAGCATGCTACCGATGAACTTGTGTTCGAGGAGTTTGGCTTCAACTCTCTTTGTGTTGCAGACGCTCCTTCCCTTGTCCACCTTTACGAGGCCAGCCGCCAGCCGTCGCTCTTTCATACTCAATGCAGTCTTGTTGTGGACTGCGGCTTCTCCTTCACCCACGCGTCCCCTGTCCTTCAGAACTTTACGCTGAATTATGCTGTACGGCGTATGGACCTTGGTGGCAAGGCCCTCACAAACTATCTCAAGGAGCTTGTTTCGTACCGGTCCCTTAATGTCATGGATGAGACCCTCCTCATTGATGACGCAAAGGAAAAGCTATGCTTTGTATCCCTTGATGTCCCTCGTGATCTTCGCCTTGCCAGGTCTGCTGACTTCCTCACTGACATGATGTGGATATATCAAATTACCGTGTTCTCTTTTGTTTGTTTAAGGTTAGAGTGTGGACCCAGGATAATTTTCAAGTTAAAATGTGACCTTCGTATGGAAAGATCAGCTAGGAACTTGTGCCTCTTGTAATCTGAACTGTTAATGAGTTGTTTGAGCAACAAATCTAACCATATGTGCTGATAGAATGGTACCTATGGAACTATGTTCCGTATCTTCAAAATAAATCTATGTTGCATTTTCTTTTCTTGCTGAAAACAGAAGGGTAACACCCTGTGTCCTACTTTACTTTATTCGAAACAACAACTGTTCGTTAGCTTCAAATGCCTGGATACTTGGTTAGACAGGTTGTAGACTTTAGTTGAATGGTTGTCGTTATGATAGCGTCAAACAGAGATGGCTAAAAATATCATCCAACTGTACAACATATGCACACACTCATGCACAAGCTTAGACTATGGAAGGAAAGTATAGTTATAAATCTTGTACCCTACCAAAATCAAATATTATGGCCTAGAGTTGCTTTCTGTTGCCAAACTAAGCAAATGCAAGATCACCATGTACTTAGAGTCTGAATGGTCAGGTATTTGGTTATGTTGAGTTGAGAAGATATGACAAGGAATGATTGCTGATCCTTTGCGGTCTGAATGACTGGTTGTGGTCCCGTTGTTGAGCTGTGAGTACTGAGTAATTAATGAATGTGAGGGTTTATTCCACCAAAGTCAAATTTGATCAAGAGTTTCAAACTTTAAAATTTGCCATTGGAGCTGGACAGGGATATCAGTTAGTACTTCATTGATTTACTAGTTGGTTGATTAGTTGAACACATCTGTGGATATCTGCTCATCCATGTTTGACATTCGAAATACTTTTGATCACACTGTTTCGTTCGTCTAGCTTTGATTATTATTTTTAGTTTACGCAATGTGCGCACCATCATGTCATTGTGTTTTCCAAGCACCATATACTGTCTAGTTGATCAGTTACTCAAACTTTTTCTCTGTTAGTTACAAATGATCAAATCTCTTAACAGTGATATGCAATTATTGCAGTTTATCATTCAAAGACAACCCATTTAGATGTTCTTACATTCTCCCTGATGGCATAACATACAAGAAAGGGTTTGTCAAAGACTTGGATGAAGCACGTCGATACTGTTCTCTGCCCGTTGAAGGAGAATTAGATAAAAAGGATGGTGACAGTGGCATAGACAAGGATCGAAAAAAACCTGAACTAAGTCAAAATGTAACAACCTGTGTTTTTGATATATCTCTTGGTCTCATCTAACGGAATTTTGATTCGCAGGAATTTGCCTTGACCAATGAGAGGTTCCTTGTCCCAGAGATGCTTTTTCATCCAATTGATCTGGGTTAGTGTCATCTAAATGTCTCATATACCTTCTTCATCTGTACTTCATAGTCTGTTTTTTTAGAACATGCCCCTACTGTTGCCCTAGCATCCTTGTCCTGCAGAGACTAACTCAAGGACCTTGAATCTCTCTCTCTAGCTAGCCCCCTCTCAGTGAGATGCTGGATTAGCAGAGTGAGCTTCAGAGACTACTCAAGGATCCTCAACCTAATTTTAATTTGTCACCCTTAATGAAAATGATTTCTCAACCAGACATAATCATTTGATGCTAGTTACGGATATATAAATTTCAGGAGTAGATTCTCTGCATTCCGCAATGTCTGTAAAAATGTGTGGTGATCATTAAAATGCTTTCAAAATGTATGGTACTTCCATTGCATTAAACTGGATAAGTATTGCCTTGGGACCTTACATGTTACAACCTCAGGCTTTGCATTTTGATACATACTAGGAGGGCATCCTAGAAAATACATTTGGTGGGATGAATCAGAGCAAACATAAAACAAAAAGGAAAAGAAGGATAGACAATTTGAATATGGGGTTAATTTGCTTGTTCAGAAAATATGGGATAGTTTTGCTGTAAGAGCAAAACTTATGGGTCACAATTTCTCTTGTTTGTTCTCCCAAAATTTTGATGCACAACAAAACAGTCTTGTATTATCCTTGTCTTTCCTTCTGTCCAAAAAATGTCTTTTTACCGTGAAAGGCAGGTGCTCTGCCAATTCATGTAGATAGAGAAACGAAACAATACAGAGTTATGTACAGAATCTTTTGATTTTATTTGCTACATGCATTACCAATCATGATAGTTCTATTTCCTTCTGTTAACATTTTTTTCCACTCAAATTTAGCTTTCATGTATTTTGGATCAGATGGATAGAATAGATTGGAAAGAAAAGGAAGCACCTTAACATATATAGGCTGAATGATTGTCAGGATAACGTCAATTTGTGCAAGTTAGTAGCAGCGATTCCACCTACTGCTTCAGCTCATTAGTTTCCCTTCTGCAATGGTAAGTAATAAGAATACTGATAACAAAATTTTGTAGGCATGAATCAGGCGGGCCTTGCTGAGTGTATTGTTCGGGCTGCACAAACCTGTCATCCGTATATTCAACCTGTGCTTTATCAGAGGTATGTTTTGTAGTTAAACGGTGAAATGCCTGACGCTATCTTGAGATCTGGTCGCGTGACTCTTGTTCTCATGCGTTGGGTTGTTTTCAGCATCATCTTGACAGGCGGAAGCACGTTGTTCCCTCGGTTCGCTGAAAGATTGTAAGTAGTTTTTCTGTAGGAAAAGAGACTGTGTTATCTTCCATTGCACAGAGTCTGTGTGCATCATCTTAGTTGTTTGTATCAACAGGCAGAGAGAACTTCGACCTCTTGTGCCCGAGGAGTACCAGGTGAAGATAATTTCTCAAGAGAAGTACGTGCCTTTTACTCTGTTTCTGTCTTGGCCTCTCCCTCGTTCACTAACGCTCATGTGTGGCGCGAATGGCATTAACGTTCTGCTACTTTGTGCAGCCCAATTCTTGGTGTCTGGAGAGGAGGATCTGTCCTGGCGTCCAGCCCCGATTTCGAGTCGATGTGCGTAACAAAATCGGAGTACGAGGAGATGGGGTCGGCACGGTGCCGCCGAAGATTTTTCCATTGAATAGATGCTCAGTAGATAGGACAATGTAGCCTGTTTTAGATGACATGTTTAGCAATTGGCATTGCAATTAGGGGTTTGTCTTATACAAATTTAACTAATGCTTAGTTGGCCATGGCCCATGAGACTAGAGGTTGTCTTCCCCATGCATGCACGCATGCAGATCAACTTTGTATGAATGGATTCAGTTTTTCCCGAGGATTTTCTAGCCGACCTTTGCATGAACCTTCCTTGCATTTAGAAAAATCAGTCAACAAGTGTGAAGATATCCCCTAAAAAAATGTGAAGATAAATTTGTGTCATGATTTCAGTAAATGAGTTCATGAAGTTTTGCTGTTGAAATAACAATTGTGAAATTTATGTCGGTCCTCCTGGCTCCTGCGTAGGGGTGGGCATAAAAACTGGCGAACCGATGTTGAAACCGAATAAACCGAAATTTTGGTTTTTTATACTATGACAGTAAAATCCGGTTTTCAAGTCCAATAACCGAACAAAATTCAAAGTAGAATTGAATCACACTAGTACAAATACCCGTGCGTTGCACCGGGCAAAAAAAGGCACAACCAGCTTCATGCACCATTGTGCATCTTTTTTATATTTAGTTTTAATAAATGTCCATAATAAGGTTAACCGTGAAAAATCCTTATTTTTAATAAAAGTTAACATTTTCATAAAAATTGGAACACTTTTTAAGAATAGTTAACGTTTTTATGAAAATTTGAACATTTCTCTAAAAAAGAACATTTTTTACGGGATTTTTTTTAATAGATGTTTTTTATGAAAAGAATATTTTGTTTTTGGTTGTACATTTCTAGATGGACTTTGTTTTAGTAAAAAATGGAACTTTTTTGGGAATTTTTAAGTTTTGTAGAAAATGCGAACATATTTTTTTAAACAAAGATAGTGTGAACATATGTAAAACCGTGAACATTTTAAAGCTATTTTTATTGTGTTAAAAAATTACAGATATTTTTATAGCATCTTTGTTAGGCAATTTTTACGTATGGTTGTTTAATTGGGAAGATTTTTTTTTAACTATTTGGGCTTGGCCCAATAAAGCACTTGACGTTAACTTTTATTAAAATATGGACGCACGAACTCATCTTCCTTATCGTTATCCATTCTTAAGTCTCCCTTGGCAAAGTGCTCTGCGCCGCCGCCACGTCGTGTCTACCTCCTATGTCGAAATGGGCCTATCCCTTCCTCTCGTGGTGCGCCGTAATGGAGAGTTCCCCATGGGGCTGGGAGGGGGAGAGGCGGGGCAAGCAGTCTCTGTTTGGTGCCCCCTACCAGCTGCGGTCAGAGTTGATCAATTGTTTCGTCCAAGCAGCACGTTTTGCCGAATAATACGCCACCGCAATCATGGGAGTCCAGTTAACGATTTTAATTGAAACTTAAACCATTATTGAATATATGCACACAACACCCATAAGAAGATCTTTGGACGACAGTGAGATCGAGCCATCCATGCATATAATCAAACTGCAACAGACCGGTTGATTAGAATCGTGCAGTGATCAACAGCATAAACTATCATCCATGGAGTACTTTTAGAGCAAATAAACTGCAACTTTCTGGAATATAACAATAATAAAAGCACCACAGTAGCAACTAAAGGGTTTGATTTCAGTCAAGGAATATAGCATTACATCAATAGCAAAACATGGTGATATTTGTGGAAATAAAATAACTCTAGGTGTTCTATGAATTCTGAAAGTCTGAATCAACTCATGTGCAACTTTTGACGATGGTGCAAATGGAGAGGCATCACAAGATTGGATCCTTATCCTGCTATATAACTGTAGTACAGTTAAAGCAAATAAGCTAAGGAATTGGACAGCAGGATGAAGGTGCACCACACCATCCAATTCTGAAAAGGTGGCGGCTAATGGTCTTCCTTGTTGAATCCATAAGGACTATGCTTTTCTATCCTTGAACTAAGCTGAAACTCGAGCTCTAAAATCTGAACGAAAAAACTTGATTTCTTGGAAGGAGGGTCACTGCTCCAAATCGTGTTGCCTCGCCCGTACATCACCGAAGCTGGGGCACACATTGGAGCAGTGGCATTTGCGACGCCCAGCAGCGGGGTCACATCTCATCCCCATCAGCTCAAATCAAAACAGAACGCAAATTAGCCCAAACAGTTAGAAGACTTATTTAAACCGCACATGGTGCACTCAGACATAAGAGAAGACCCAAGCAGAGCGATCAAGCCATGCAATTCTAGCTATTAAAATACTAATTAGTTATTGTATCTAGACGGACAGTCTTATGTAAAACGTTTAGATTTACGTAGTAGTTTGCAAGGAGCATATACATACTATTTTTCAAATGGGGTGTATACAAGTATACAACTGATACTACTTTAACTGAAAACATCAGAGAGCATGTTTTAATTCATTCATGATCTCTGCATTTTATTTAGAAACAAGCATGCACGAAGATACTCACATAGAGAGCAGAATCCTCTCTTTCACAGTACTATTGTTTCATCTAGCTCTAACATATCCTCTCTTTCTCCCTTTTAATAAGTAGTATAGTTGATGCTATACAGACTTAAGAAGTAAGTAGTTGATGACAGATACAAATCGATGACACTGTAGTATGTACCTCAGGTCAGACGAAGTTTCGGCGGATAGTAGAGTATGTGCAGACAGATTTCCGGCGAAGTCGGCGGTGTACAGCCACGGCGCTGTCGGAAACTTGAGGCGTGAAGATGAGCCAAATAATTGCAGATTATTCCAGAGAGTTAGAACACGAAAAACTATTTGACCTTGCAATAGAATAGAAAGGGTTCGGCGATGTGCACATCTCTCTCTGCTCTCTCTCTCTCTCTCTCTCTCTCTCTACCTCACCTCTTTTTTCACCACAAGTTACAAAACCAAATAACTGAATTTGTTGGCCCTGTACATCATTTAAAGATTAAAAGAAACTCAAATCCAAGATCAGTTGTCGTTCATGACCTCTGCATTTTATACAGAAACAAGAATGCACCAAGATACTCACATAGAAAGCAGAATCCTCTGTTTCACAGGGCTATTGTTTCATCTATCTCTAACATATCATCTATTTCTCCCTTTTAATAAGTAGTATAGTTGACGACATACATACTTAAGAAGTAAGTAGTTGATGACAGATACAAATTGATGACACTGTAGTATGTACCTCAGGTCAGACAAAGTTTCGGCGGACAGTAGAGTATGTGCAGAAGGATTTCCGGCGAAGTCGACGGTGTACAGCCACGGCGCTGTTGGAAACTTGAGGCGCGACGATGAACCAAATAACTGCAGACTATCCCAAAGAGTTAGAACACGAAAAACTATTTGACCTTGCAATAGAATGGAAAGGGTTCGGTGATGTGCACGGTCATATGCATAAAAGCATCGAATTTGTTTACATGTAACATCAGCAGTATATACATGTAGTCGCCTCCAAAATTGACCATATGAGCTTTCAAATGAAAGGACAAAAATGAAAAAGGAACATATAAGAAATGTGAGTTATATAGTATTTTATTACCAACATGGCATCACTCAAAGATAATACTTGTCAAAGAACAGCTTGATCAGGCACAAAGACCTAGACATGTGAAAGAGAAGGGAATCAACACATAAAATTTAACCTGAATCTACCTCAACCATGAGCAAGTACGAGCACTGCTCCTTGCCTTGAGTAAGTGCTTGCTCTGGCTTAGTTTGCCCCAGCACAACAGAGATCAATTCCCTGGATGGCATATATTTAATATACGTTCTCCTCCTAGTACTAAAAATAGGACTACATGGCTTCCTAGCGAGTTAAAGCTAACAGAGATCAGAGAGCAAACTAATTTCACCAATTTATCATTATAATCTCTATTGAATGCAACACTTTGCCACATCTTGTATTATCTATATGGCATTGCTAAAGTGATTCTAATCTGAAAAAAGAATAAAAAAAATCCAACTTTGCCATGTTAAACAGCATCCATAGTATTGCATGATGTAGTGACCCAAAATTAGTAGCACTATAATTGGATGGTTCAAACTCATGTGCCAGATGTCCTAAAAGTTCAGACTTGTATTCACAAAATAAGGAAATTCAACAATATATCTTCAAATGTAACTATGGATGGATTGAACAACCAAATTGCTACCTGATAGAGCAAAATTCCATATGCTTTCTGTTTTTTAAACCGAGTTCGAGGTGGATTCCATATTCTAACTGCACTTTACGGGAATGGATCTACAATCATATTAAGAGATTCCCTTCATCTTGAGCTGGTGCTTCAGCTGTTGGAACACTTAAGCTCAGATCTTCAGTATGATTTTCTTTAAGTGTAGGATCGAACAAAACCTACATGATAGATTGCTTACATTTATTAATAATCAATCAAGCAATTTTCTTGCACGGATAACACTATGTCATGAAATGTATTGCTGCTATATTTTCGTTCAGTTTTTGTAATAAGATAAAGTACTTAAATGATCTGCCAAGGAATAAACCAAATCAACAGCGACTCTATGGTCTAATTATCAGCTCTACACAATTAATAATACAAATAGAACTCTGGTACTAATTCTACAGAAAAGATACACCAAATACACTATCAGTCAGGTTCAGTACCAAGACCATTTTAGACATCTAAACATATTTATAGTATAGCGATATAGCTGCAGGTGTAAAGCGTGAAAATTCTCGATGGTACAAACTGTAAGCTGACAAATTGTCGATGCAATGTAGGTGCCAAATAAGTGTTGGCGTCATACCACAGTGCACTGACACAAAGCATAAAAGGAGAATAACATATTAACATTTCATTGTTGTACCAAAGAACAGACCATAGCTTCACAGCTAAGATTAATGCAGTAGTAGCACTACAATGACTTGTCAATAGTGACCTCGCACACACTGGCATTTTTACTGTAACTATTTTATGAGCTTGCAAATAAAAGCACAAAAATGAGAAGGGAACAAAAATGAAAATAGCACATATATACACTATTTATGTTTTGAAGGATACCAGT